ATGTGTTGGGCAGCTATGTGAGTGCCCAGGTGTGACAAGGCTAAATGTTTTGGCGGCATCAAGCTTGTTAGCACGTCAAAAAAAAAAAAAGTCTGTAAATTACCTGTAGCATTATATAATCTGCAGGGTTCAAAGCATGTGAAAAAAATAGCAGCTTATAGTCCAGAAATTACGGTAATTTCTGGGTAAATATTTTTTTTTTAATGTAATCATAAATTTAGGACACAAAATACCATTTATTTGTACAGACTGTATTTTTGTTTATGGAATTAACAAAAAAATACTAAAAACTGGTCACGATGTCGATCAGGTTTGCTTGGTTTTAGAGCCGTTTATTTGATTTAGAGTATTGAAAACTGAGTTGCTTTTTGATTATTAAAATAATGCGAAAACCCATCTTTTCCTGTTTTCCCCAATAGTTTCCCCTCATATGAGGGGCCAGTGATGGGGGCGAAAAAAACAACAGTTTTAAAGTTTGTGCTTCACCATTTAAAAATAACAAGAAGTCATTTTGTAGAGTTTGAATTAAATCTGACTGTTTTTACACTCTGTGAACGGGGAAAACCCCCGAAGCAACAATCAGACCAACGTGGGGCTCTGCAACTGTCTGTGAAACCACACGGAGGAAAATCCTCCCACGTGACACCGGAACGAAAGATTTACTCAAACATCTGTAATAAAAATACAATAAAGTTGTAGCTACAGGCTGTGTTTGTTGGGGACTGCAGCGCGTTGGACGACTGATGCTCGTGAAGATCACGTTTGCCGCACTTAGGAGAAAACAGGGGGTTTGGAACAGTTCTTGATTAGTGTAGAAGCTTTTAGCTTCTCTAATTCATAAACCTCTCATTGTGGGGCTCTCTGCAGATCCCCTGAAGTGTCTACTGGATGTTCTCCAGAACCCCTGAGGAACAGAGCCCAGAGTCGACTCAACCTGCTCAAACCCAAGGTAACGCAGACCCCCTTCATCCGAGAGCCCCAAATCCAAACCATCACTTACTTCAAATTGAATCAGATGTGCAAACATTGAAAATAATGTCTTTACATCCTGTAATTTCTCCCTGGTATTGTATTATTTATTTGCTTAGCTGACGCTTACAACCGACTTCCACGGTTCCCGTTTGCACAGCTGCGTTTTAGCTCCTAATGTTGGTTTGAGTGTGCAGTTTCAATCCAGGGCATAAAATGAATTATTTGTGGGGGACTCAAACCATTAACCACTCCTGATGAGAAGTTCTTCTATTGTCAGGGCCTATTTGCCTGCAGTGCACAATATTGTTTATACAAAACTCATATTTATTGCACAGTGTAGTCACTTTCTGTTCAGATTCTGATTAAATGTTTTTGTTCCTCTAAGGAATTTATGGTTGTTTGACCTTAAGACTGCATGTTGTAATGGCTTAAATAACCTTTAATACAAATATTTACCCGGATAACATGAAATGAAATTACAGTGACATAATGATGTTCTGTAAAAACACTTTCCCATTCAGTGCCGTGACATAAGGAACAGAAGCAGACATGGATGTAAACCGAAACCTGGTCCAGTTGACGGAGGCAAATAACCGCAGGGCGGTAATTCTAATTTCAGCTGCAAAAACATTCCACTTGCTATGCATCTTTGTCACAATAAGTTTTAGTGGGGATCCCGCTGATGTTCACACATGAAAGGTTCATATGTTGAATAGATGTTGCATAAAGACTTTTGACTCTGGAGGGAGATGATGAACGCAGGTCTGAAAATGATGGAAAGAAGTGATCGTAGCCGACTTTTTGTTACTGATAATCAGCTCCACTTTAGAGGAGCAGCTAAAGGTAGCAGCATTAGTTTGCTGATTTGCTGAAAAGCTGATTTATACTACGGGTAATTTAGGGTTTGGATGGAAATCCGAACAGATTAATTAACTAGAAAAATGTTACTTCCTGTGAAAATGCAGTGTGAATGCTTATTGTTGAAGGAGTTCTACTAAAAGCTGCTAAAGAAGCTGAAACCAGGTTTAAAAAGGTTTCATCCCTAAACTCTTAATATGAGTTGAAGTTGAACATCTGCTGAAAGCAGGAAAATTAAAGCAGAAGAAAAATGGCAGACATGTGTAGAAGAAGCTGAAATGGGCAGAGACTGAATAGATTATCATAAATCTGAAATGAGCAAAAAAAATAAGAAGATGAAATTAGCAAACAAGTAGCTAAAAAGGCAATAAAAAATGAAAGTAGAAGAAAGAGGCAGAAAAAGTTGGAATTGTTAGAAAGAATCACAAAAGTCAGTGTAGGGGGAAAAGGCTAGACTTAGCAGAAAAATACCTTTAAAATGTCTGAAAAAGCAGGGGGACTGAATTTAGTAGAAAGAAGCTTACAGAAGCAGAAAACTAGCTGAAAAAAGCTTAACTGAGCAGAAAAGAGCTGAAGTTGGCACAAATAAGCTGAAAACAGCTGAACTAGAACAAAAGCTGAATGAATAATTGAGTTTTTAATTCATTATTGTGTTCTTAGCTTTATAACTTTATTTTTATGCTTTCTTTGATCTTATTTATTACTGATGTTCAGCACTTTGTTTCAGCTGTGGCTGGTGTTAAAGCGCTTTATAAATAAAGTTGATGATGATGAAGCATAAAAGGTTTTAAACAGCACAAAGGGAAATGAAAGCTCCAATCATGTTCAATGAGAAAAACATGGTCGACAAAGATAAATATTTCAAAAAATAAAAACTGCACAATTATTACAGTTACCATTATTGGGTTTTCCAAACATGCCACTAAAACAGATGTGAACAATACATGACCCGAGGGCCAAAAGCGGTCCTTGCGCAATGTCCATCCAGCCCCCAATATCCTTAATAGAAGAAGAAGAAAAAAAACTTTAGTTAATAAAAACCTGCATTCTATCAATAAAACTTAAAGAAATGTAAATTAAATATCTTCGACAATTTTAGCAAAATATTTGGATAAAGATAGGCTTTAAAAAAATTAAAGTTACGCTATCAGAACTAGACTGAACCTCAACGACCCCAAAAAGCAAACCTATATTTTTTTGTTTGTTGCATATTTAAGCTAACAGTTATACTGTTTTAAGAGCCAGTTTACAGAGAGTTTGTCTTATATTCCTAAACAGTATTAGAGAGACATACATTTATCAAGCATGCTAATTATGCTACAATAAGAAAAATGCTTTAAAAAGTACTCCAGATTATCTGCCTTGAACAAAATTTATTTTCCAATTCTCTACTCGGCCCTTCGATTGCTTAAAAAATCTTGATTTAGCCCTCTGGGAAAAAAATGTCACCCACTCCTGCAGTAAAAGAATATGGTTGATGTCCTGATGCTGGAAGCACAGCCTGCACAAACAGAGCATTAGATTTAAATTACAGTGATGGGCTCAAAAACTTGTTTACACCCAGATTTACTCCATCATCGGGATGTATTGTTGCTGAGCCTGTTTTACAGTGCATTATACGTCCTTCACTATTCCTGGGTCACACTAAAATAAATTAATATTTAGGTTGGAATTGAGTATTTTAACATACAGCTAATCACACGTGTGATCCCCTTCATGCTGAGCACAATTTATTTGATTGTGCTACCAGATGTCATTTAGCTCCCCACAATCTGTCTGCCTTCCTGTTCTAGTGCACCGTAATGGTCCCAGGGCAGCTCACCGCTTCCTGAACTCTGTGAGTGGAAGCTCTCGGCATCCATTTCGTTTTGAAATGCCATATCGGGCGTGTAACTCGTCTAGCAAGGGAAACTTGAAAGGTTATTGCTTCCTCTTGTCTGCTGAAGAACTTTATCCCAGAGTTCTTCAGTGGTTTCATCACACACTGACGTCAGCTGGCGGGCACAGGGAGGTGGGCAGATTTGGCTTCTGATTTTGGGATGTCTGTCTCCACATCTGTTTCTCAGTGCAAACAGATGATTCTGGCCTAGAAAACGTTCACTGAAATTCCACACAGACTTTGATGTTCAAGACTTTGATTGCGTTAAAATACTTGTTTTATGTACAAAGAGATAAATCACTTTCTGTTTAGGAAAATGATGCACCTGCTACTTGTTTCTCCACCTGTATGTGAGCCAAAATCAAAGCTGAGGAAATGGCCTGCACCTGTTATTTTGAAAATACTGGGAATTTTTTGGTCAGTTGTCTCCTTCATGTGAGATTAATTTTGTAGTACCACACAGCACCGTATTAGGCTCCTATGGTTTGTCCTCGTTTACTCTTCAATGCCGACATAAATTTAGGGGCGTTTTTAATAAATAAATAAATTATCATCCATACATTTATTATTATTATTTTGTCTTTGGTGCTCTTCTTCTTGAAAATAATTAAGGTTCCGACACCTTTCGCAAACCTACCTCGGCTTTACTTGCTGTCATTTGTTTTCGAGCTCTCAGATTTCTTCTCACTACTATGATCCACTGGCCCAAAGGGTGAAATCCTTGGATTTTGATAATACCAAGCAGATGTAGATCAAACACTGGATGAAAAGCTGTGGATTAGTGCATCCCAGGGCAGGGATTGTAGCCTTCAGAATTATTCACTTTCTTATAACTTGGCTTTTTAGAAAGGTTCTTGTCTTGGGAAAAAATATTTCCTTTAGTCTTCTCTCATTTACATTTCTTTTGAATTGCACAGTTTGACAACTGTGTTATCGTCAATTCGTTTAAACAATTTAAACCCCATATTAACTACCTTTTAGTTTAAAAGAAATGAACTAATCTAACCCTCCAGGGGCCAAAACTTGGATTTTCTTCAAAATGTTTATGTGAAAACTTCTGTTTTTGAACCTTTAAAGCTCAGCCTTCACATGAACACCATAAAACATCTGGAAATGACCACCTGGACTTTCTGCAGTGGTTCACACATGCACGACCCAGTCCTGTTCCAACTCCCACTTACAACCTTTTTAACAAAGGGCGTTGAAGGTTTTAAAAGTAGAAATACTGGCCAAGCTTCTGCATTGGACTTGAAAGGTGTAACTTAATGTGACTAAACAAGAACATGAAGTACTTCTTTGGGATTTTCCCCAGAAATACAAGTTTTTTTATTTCAGAAACTGGAGGGGGTGAGGTGAGTTTATACATAAAGACTTCACATCAGCATGTTGGGTTTATTAATTGTAGGAGAAAATTATTGATTTGGAATATTTGATTATGTTTCGCCTGACATTTCCCACTCCCTCCTCTGTTTTTCATACCTTCTGTTGTAGATCAAAAAATAAAAGCTTGTTTTGTTGTTTGAAAGCATCGAGGTAAAAAAACTCACATTATTTCTTGAAAGGAAAGAATCTTGGCCACAAACGCCAAGTCCCTGATACTGATCAGTATCATCATGTTAGCATTTTTGTTTTCATTAAATTATTGTGCCATAAATCTGATTTATTGACATGAATTACCCACAATAAATCACGCTAATTACTTTGGGGATTCCCAATCTCATTCCTTTTTATGTAGGGCCATTGTGGTTTAATGTTTGTGTACGGTAAAAATGTCTTGACGTCTATTGTTGAGAACTTTGAGAAGTTTGGCACAGACATTCATGTTCCCTCAAGGTTAAGTTATGCAAATGTTTAAAGTTGATTAGCGCTATTGTTGGGGCAACATTCCCCAATACACAAGCTTTTGAACTGTCGTGCCAAATAACTTTTGTATGTAGCTGAATATGACGAGTCTGCAAAGTGGTGCTATATGCAAATTAGTAAATACAACTTCAAGCTATCGTCATATATGAAATTTGGTGTTATATTTACTTGTTGAGTATTTAAAAATGAACAAGAATTGAAAAGAGATTGCATACAAATGGGGATTGTTTTGCTTAAAACAAATCAAATAATTTAATGAATCCAAGATTGAGTCCCAGAGGTTGATCATTGAACATGTCACCATCCACCGGACATGAGATGTTTTGCTGTTTGTTTCAGCCCAGAGACAAGGTAATACGATCCCAGTTTGCCTGCACATATAAAGATGAAGAGCTACCACTCAACCGGGTCCTGGACTTCCCAAGCACCAGCCAGATGCCTACCTGCATGCACCCAGCACCCAAGCTAAAAACCATTCTAGACGTGGTTGACGGGATCAGCCTGGATACGGAAGAAACAACCACAGGTGCGGGTTTACTTTATTTAAACACAGAAGGTATTTCATGTCATGAATCCCCGTGGACTATGATGTTTGCAGATGACATTGTGATCTGTGATGAGAACAGGGAACAGGTGGAAGAAAACTTGGAGAAGTAGAGGTATGCACTTGAAAGAAGAGGAATGAAAGTCAGATGTAGTAAGACAGAGTACATGTGTGAATGAGAGGGAGGCAGGTGGAACAGTGCGGCTACAAGGAGCAGAGGTCACAAAGGTGCAGGACCTCAAGGACTTGGGGTCCACTGTCCAGGAAAATGGGGATTGTGGTAAAACGGTCCAGACAGGATGGAGAAATGTTTCAGGAGTGATTTGCGACAATAGGGTGTCATCAAAGGTCAAAGGAAAAGTTTGCAAGACAGTGGTGAAACCAGCTATGTTGTATGGTCTGGAGACAAAGACATGGACAAAAAGACGGGAGACAGAACTGGAAGTGGCAGAAATGAAAATGCTGAGGTTCTCCTTAGGAGTGACAAGGATGGATAAGTTTAGGAATGAGATCATCAGAGGTACAGCACAGGGTGAACATCTGGGAGATAAAGTTAGGGAGGCCAGACTGAGATGGTTTGGACACGTCCAGAGGAGGGACAGTGGGTATATTGGTAGGACGTTAGAAATGCAGCTGCCAGGAAAAAGACAAAGAGGAGATATATGGATGCAGCTAGAGAGGACATGGAGGTAGTTGGAGTGAGGACAGAGTGAGATGGAGGAGGATGGCTGACTGTAGCGACCCCTGAAGAGGGAAAAGAAGAAGAAGATGTATAAAAGGTCAACACAATTTGTGCTTCGTTCTTTGTGTTGTGATGTCAGCTTTCTCTGATGCTTCACAGCTGAACTAAGGTCCTGGCACACCTTCCTTCCAGGCCTTAAACTTTTCATATTCCCTACTCTGGGACTGGTGCTTACCATCAGCCATTAAATTAATCTCCATACTATAAAATCTGATAACCCCCAGATCTATAGTAAAAACCACAAGTTGCACACACACTTTTTTTCATTTCTCTTTCAGTGTTTTGTTCTGTGGCTATTGAGGCTCGGCTCCATCCAGTTTACATGGCGACTGTTTAATTTCACCTCCGTAGAATAAATAATACAAAGCCTGCTTGAACGAGCAGCGAACGTCAGCAGATTTGTTACAGCATTTCCCATTTTCGGTTCCAACTTTTAAAATCCTGTTTTGTTTTGTTTCAATTTTGCAGCCAAGTTGACCCGTGACCACTGGAAAAAAGAGGCACAGCAGGAGACTCTCAGGCAAAGAAGTGGAAACGCTCAACACGAAGGTGCCGGTCCAAGGTGTAAAAGGAAAGCTAGCGATCAGATGCAGAACAGGGGTAACAAAAGGAAGCAGAAGGATTCTGATCAGCCCATTGGATCTGAGAATGAACCTCCAGAGAAGAAACGGCACACTCATGTGTCAATCAAAGTTCCCGGCAAAAATGTCAGCAAGACCTCAAATAAAAAGAAGCTAATAGCCGGACAGGCAAAGCTAACCAGCTTCTTCAGGGTTTAGACTTTGCCTTCACCAAACAGTAACTCAATAGGAGTTTTAAATGTGCACATAAATCAACTTAAAGGTTGAGTTCACCCTCTGGCACATTTTGTGCTACACTTTTCTTCCACATGGGCTCTCCAAAACACTTTGACATTTTTTACTTTTTATTTATTAATTAATTTATTTTTAATACTTTTATATTTTGTCACTTTTTCCTTTTTTAAGTTTATTGAAAATATTACTATCATTCTTTTTTGCTGCCTATTTGCCAGTATACAATAAAAATTAGTAGCTGATTTGTATAATGGCCTAAACCAGGTAGAAAATTCTAACTAGCTGCAAGCTACTTGTAATCTAGCATTCATATTTGTTTTTGAACTTTTTAAACAAGCTAAATAAAATGGTTGTTGTGTAGTAATGTTGGCTATTTTACCATATTTTTCGGACTATAAGGTGCACTTAAAATTCTTTAATTTTCTCAAAAATTGACAGTGAGCCTTATAATCCAGTGCGCCTTATGTATTCTGGTTGTGCTTACTGAACTCAAACCGATTTTATGTGGTACACCGCTCAAAAATCTGTCAAAACATTTTCGTTTCGCTTAATGCGCCTTATAATTCGAAAAATACGGTAAATCACAATTTTGACAGACCCGGTACCTCTCTTCATGTTTTTAATAAACTTCAAAGATAAGGTAAGCTTTGATTATTGTAAAAATCTATGGTGGGGAGAAATCACTACAGTAATTACTTGCTACTTGTTGTATCAAGTTCCCCTTTTTTTTGTATTTCATTGTTTTTGTATTTTTTGTTTTACTTTTCATACTTTTAATTACATCTTAATATTTTTTTTTCTTTAATTACTGCCTTTGATCTTATCATGAAGCACTTTGGTAACCACTGCTGTTTTAAATGTGCTTTATAAATAAAATTTGACTTGACAATTTTTTTTTTTTAATCAGTTTAATGACAAGACCATTACCACTTTTTATGTCTGTCACTATAAACTAGAAATTAATGAAAACACTGAGTTGTGTAGCTAGCTAACGTGTTGCTCAACAACATTATGCTTTATTTAATGAATCACCATTTTATATTCTTATCACTACCAGGGAATTATTTTAATACAGAAAAGTTATTAGTTTAGCGAATAAAATAGTTTAGAGTAGTTTTTGTTTAAAATCTGGTATTGAAATTTTAATAAACAATAGGTTCATGTGTTAAGTACAGTTAGTTGTTGTTATTAAATAACATTTGCTATTAATATTATTATTAGACATTTATTTATACAGGTTAGTTCCCATTGAGCCTCGAAGACACATTTATAAGAGATACCTGTTACATGCAATATACAGGCAGATGAGAAAGAGAAACACGAGGATAGAGGAAACCAAAAAAAAATCATGTTTCACACAATGTCCTGGCCGGGGCACAGTGTAAAAGATGCAAAAAATGACCACGCAACATAAACAGTGAACATACAATGACATCATAAAAAATGTATGCATAGAAGTTACCAAAGGCAGTGAGTCATCCATGGACACTCCAGAAAGTTCCAAAGTTCTGATAAGATGGTACAGTGTCTATCAGCATCATATTAGTGTATGTAAAGAGCATGGTTTTTAGTTGGCATGTTTTACAAGGTATATAAACTTCAAGCTTATTAATTGTATTTATTTGTATCATATTTTCCCCAATGTTAAAGTAACATTTTCAAAGTTTTTAGTAGTAAGGAAAATGTGACTGCAAGCTGAACAGATCAAACTGAGAGAATATTTCTTCAATGCACTTTATTACTAAATAAATAGTGAAAGACATGTATGCAATCACTCATAAAGTTTGAACTTCTCTAAACATTGCAACACAGACTTCATTTTTAATCAACTTTATTTGGTTTTACATGCTTGATGTTGTATATTCTACAATAAAAAGCTTCAGGGTAACAGATAAAGAAGGAACTTCCACATGTTCAAGAACCAGCAAGGCTTTGGGAAGCTAAGTTATTTGCTTCCCAACAGGGTCGGTATACTCTTCCAATCATACATAGCAACACTATAGGAAAAAAGGAATACATGTAAATTCAATTATTTTAATGAGACAAATTCTTTACATAGTTCATTGGTGGCATATTTTCCAGATACTTACGGTTAAGGTTTTTATTGCTTTCATCTATATTCAAAGTGAACTCCTCAGGAGTGTGACTCAAGCTCCGTTCTGAGATCAGAGGATGTCTCCAGGAGAAGCCCGGCTTCTTCGCACGAACACCGTGTCCTTTCAGCCCCGTGTCCTGAAATCAGTCATTACATCTTAAGTTCACATTTGTTCCCATGCACACTGTGAACTCTGGCCGATCAGCTCACAGCAACATCTTTGAAAGATTATTCCTACACGTTAAGTGCAGGTGTTGTATCTGCTTCCATCAGCTGATCCAAGATGCAGAAAAACCCAAATGGAACAAACGTGTTCTCTCTTTCCTTTGACTTTATCACAGTAGCCTGTTTCCCCCCAGAAATGGTTCACCCAGATGTCTGTGCTGTCTCCAATACAGTTTTTGTTCCCCCATTACCACAGAGATAACCACTGTTCACGATGCACTGGAGACCCAATTGCCAGAAAAACACACTGCAGCCAAAACTTTGATGGAGCCCCAATATATCATCATTCTTCCCACTGTGATTTTGCTAAACCCTTTTATAGACTTGTGATCATTTGACCTTTTCGGGTAATACCATTTACCATCTTTTCCAGTGCTGCTGTAAAATAATTTTATAGACGCTTGTGTAAAATATTGACTCAACGGTAGACAAGTGGACGGTGGCCAACTGAAATGGGTCAAGTGTTTAGTCACAGAATGGAGATAATGTGCTCTTTGTTCAACTATAGTTGTGATTTATTTCAAGAAACCTTCAAATAAATGCTTACAACGCAAAAAATGTCTTGAGAATTTGGAAATGAATTTAACTCAATAAAGGCTCACATTGCTAAAATAGCATACACGTGAAACTAATGACAAAATATACAGTATTAGGATTTTAGTCATAGTGTTAAAGCTTTGAAAGTGTTTATCAATATAGAAGTTGGTACAAATGATATAAATCTACATAACAAATGAACTAAAACAATATCTTTCTTTTTTAAACTTACTGAAATGATGAAGATTTTTGGAGTCCTGTCTTCCTTCATGTTGTTATCCAGCATCACGCTCTGTCTGTACATTGTGGGAACCAAAAGTGATTCAGCCATCGTCTCATCACCGATAATGGAGTCTAAACCTTCTTGGTCTGTTGACACATCTGCTTTGCTTGAAAGCTTGGCCACGGTGACCGAGTGGCTGTTCAGTCCGGAGAAAAACACTAAGGTGAACAGGACTGAGAAGACAGACATCATCCTAACTCTCAATACTTTACCTAACAGCTGATGTGGTTTGGCTTTTAGCTGCTTTATATATTGAGACATAATAAAACCTTCCAAGTTAAAATGACGCATCTATCTTGAAAGGTTGAAGGCCACAGGAAGTGTAAAGGTGACTTCAGATGTGCTCCAATTCCATTAACCAGAAGAAAAAAAACACGAACATAATAGCTGTATTTATTCTATTTAGAGATGGAATGAACTCACATCACACACTGTTTCTTTTAATGGGAAACATGGTGGGCTAACTCAACCCCATTTGAGCGAGGCAGGGCAGGCAAAAAACGGGTCATGAGGGCAGAAAGTAATAAAAGATACCAAAATGAGTTCAGCAGGTGGTACAAAAGAGTTGGGGTGCTTCAAAAGATGCCCACTGAGTGAGCACAAAACCATTCTTAAATGTTGAAAACTTGGACACGTATAAAGACCTCCAAACTCTAGCTAATGGTCCCCAAATTATATTTTATCATATAAAATACAAGTATGTTTAAAAGGTTACATTATGCTTTAAATCTTTTTTAGTCATGACATTAACTTTGTCTGTACTCTTGATTGTCTGCATAGATAAAAAATCCATCCGATTTGGCTTTTCAAGTGTACAAAAAGTCCCTTTGAGTTGTCTAGCCTTGCCTTTCTCAAAGACCACATTAAGAAACTCGTTAGCCTGCCTGGTGTAGTTGGCAACACCGTTGGCCACGGTCATTTCTGACAAACATCCATCTATACATCCATCCATCATTTTCTGCTAGTTCTGGAGTCAGGTCTTGGGGTCAGCAGTTTGAGCAGGTAGACCCAAACATCTCTTTCCATAACCACCTCTTCCAGCAACTTTGGGAGGCTTCCATTGTATTCCCAGGCCAGATGAGAGACATAGTCTCCCCAGTATGTCCTGAGTCTTTCCCAGGGTCTCTCTCCTTCCAGCTGGGCATGACAGGAAAACCTCCCTAAGGAGGTGTCCAGGAGGCATCCATACCAGATTACTGAACCACCTCAACTGTCTAATCTCGATGTGAAGGAGCAGCGACTCTACTCCAAAGCCTCTTTGCCATTGATAAGTGTGACTCTCCTCGGCTCTCGTCTTATCAGTTCTTCAGGTGTATGCAATTTGCCACTGATTTGTTCCCCTGCTCTGTGGGCGGGATCGTCAATGCAATGTAGGCGGTATCATAAATGGTCATTGTGTTTGAGCCACTCTGCCCGTTGTGATCCTTAATCGCCCTATAATCGGGCTTTGGTTTCTTTAGTTTATTTCGGTACTGCTCATAAGTCCACATGTACCCATGTTGCACCTTCATCTGTGATACCGCTCTGTAAATGTGCTAATTTCTTGTGGCGCCATCCAGCTCACACCAAATTCTAACATCGGCCAATAAAGTTAGGAAGGTGAAGTACAGATGGGAAAATGGGGTACAGACCTCATCTTAGGTCCACAACACTTTTGGTGCTTCCATTCCAGAAACTAGCACAAACAAGACACACTCAACATGATCAGAGAGGAAATGGAGGGTAGTTTGCAGTTTTGCTGGGTTGGTCATTCAGTGACGTATCTCAACTGGACAATCTACGGCTGCTATCTGCTTCATCTATTCTAAATTATCATATTGGAGCAGTTTGTTTGGAACCAATAACAAGGTGGTTCCATAAACCGAGCCGAGTGGGGGTGGGTAGACCCTTAACTGGTGCGGAACCGATGAATGTAGAGATGGTGGCAAAGAGACACAAGTCTCTGGATAAGTAAACTTCTCGCCCTATCTCTAAGGGAGAGTCCAGCTACTCTGAAGAGAAAACTCATTTCGCAATCTCGTTCTTTCACCCATGACCCAAAGTTTCTGACCGGAGGTGGGGAAACATAGATCGACCATTAAACAGAGAGCTTCATCTTGCAGCTCAGCACCCTCTTCACCACACTGGACTGGCACAGAGGATGCAATACTTTGAAAGCAGCACCAATCTGGATTTTTATTTTTGGCTCAGCTGTTTCTTCACCTTGACAGAGATGACAGTGTTCATATCGCTGCAGGTGCTGTCCAAATCACCTATCAGACTCTATGTCACAGTTCTTCATACTTGAGCTCCTCTAATCGAGGCAATCTCTTATTCCCAACCTGAAGATGGTGATCCCCTTTTTTTCAGTTGAGGCCCATGACCTCAGACGCGGAGGTGCTAATCTTCAATCTGACTGTATGAAAACGAAGAAGGACAACACTAAATTTTGATATTGCTTCCAGTCTTGGCCAAGACGTTCTTACAATATAAAAGTAGAAATATAAGCATAAAAAGTACCATTTTCTCTTATGAAAATAAAGTGATGTTAAAAGAAAGCATGTTTTGTGTGTGTGCCTCAGGGCTGGTGCCCATTTGTAAATTAAAATTGTTTTTGTCAGATTAGTTGTTTTTTCCTCTTTTTTTTTCAACTGAGAGGTACAAAGACAAAAGTGCCGACCGTCAGCTGATTATAAAAAGGTCAGAGGCAAGCAAAATGTTGACACAGCTCCTCGCAGGCTTCGTCCCAGCTCAAAAGGCTTACCTTATTAACATCAGAAAAGCCGTAGCGCAGGGGATGGAGCACCAAGGCATGAATAATAACTATGGATCTCAGCTGAAGTGATTTTACTTGGAGCGATCAGACTTTATTTTGTAAGTATTATTGTTGGAGGGCCAGGACTTCTACTGAAGAAGTGAACTTGTCCGCTGGGGCACGGCTGTTCCAGCAGAAGCACAACTGAACCTCAACTTGAGCGTCTTGCACTGTTGTTTTAACCTTCCTGTCTCTTTGATGATGCTGCTTTTCCTTTTTAATTAGTTATTTATTTTGACTAAATTTCTCAATTTGTGAGCCTTAAATGGACAGTGGCTGCACGTCAAAGACTCGAGCAGAAAATATCAATATCACTGAACTCTGAGCTGAGCTGAAGGCTTTTATCTGTCCGATTGTTTTCTCTGGTTGGGATTTCTGAGAAATCATTACCATAATTCGTCAACAAAAAGCTAAAATCCTACGACGATCCAAGTTTTTTTTCTCCTCACAAAGCTGCTGCTGACTTGCAGCTGTTTTAACGGCAACCGCATTCACATAATGCACATGTTTTGAGCGTTTTCATCATCGGTGCTGCTCGATGCTTGCATCACCTGTCAAACGAAGGTGTTCGGTTTCAGTCGCACTGCCTGTGTGTAAGAAGACCTCAGAAGTCTGCGCTCCGTGACATCAGTAGCAGCATTTTTCGTGATCTTTGGAGGTCCAAAATGTTATTTCCTAATCCTGTATTAACATGCTGCCTTTCATCACAGACAGTCATCTTCCATTGAAAAAAAAAAGTGGAGAAAAGACAAACGCTGTTTAAGCAGAGGGGAAGCTCTAGTTCCAGGGAAATGTGATGCTCTGTGCAGGATGCTTCGTGTGTGTGTTTGTGTGTCAGGAGCCGAGCCAGGGGTTTGGCGTTATTCGCTCAGCTAAGATGCGGGTAAAAGCAAGAGGCCACATTTTGGGCCTTTTTATTTTTTCACCAAGAGAACAGACCATGGTTTCCTGGAACAATGCAGCTGATCAGAGTCCCTCCAAGGAAAATAAGGCTCTGACATCATGGGTTCTTAAAGCACACAGCTGAGCCAACACTCTCCTACTATAATCAAGTCTCAGTGAATTTCCACTGTGGCCTAAAACTGAGAAACAAGGAGAATCTCCAAATCCCAAACCGTAGATGCTTTTTTTTGTTGTTGTTGTTGTGGAACACGCTTTCATCTAACTGCTAATGTTTTGGTAGCACCGTGCACTTGCTTCACATCTGGGCTTGCTCATAGAGCTGTTTGCAAATTGGTCACAATCAACTTTTCATGACTGGATTGTGGCAATGGGGACAAAAGAATCTGGGATTTATTGGAACAATAAAACGTGAGTTGATAAGAGAATAGGTCAAAAGGAAGCAAAGATAAAACACCATCTGTAAAAGAAGTGAATGGCTCCAAACCAGTGAGGCTCTACACGCAGCAGAATACGTAGTAGAATTGGTGAGTAGTAGAACAGACCACAAGGTCATTGAAAAGACAATTGTGTGCTTAAGATGAGGAGTTGAAGAGTGTGGTGAGGTTGAGTTTCAGAGCTCAGGCCAGAGTCCGTGTCCTTAGATGCACTGGATCCCAGAGTGCATGCAGATAGATGGGACGGGAACGGGTTTATTCCAGAACACTCCTGCTTCTTGAGGTTATCCAAAAAATTCTCTGTGGTGCGCTCCTCTGCATCCCTTTATATGACATAGGATTATAAAATACAGTGGACAACATGTTTGTTCCTTGTTTTAAATAATCACAGCTGTATTTTACTGTACAACCATATTCATGTTAATTACTGGCTTACAGTAATTGTTATGGCTTGGTAACTCGCCACTGCCCACTTCTCTCTGCACGCAATCTCCCAGATTTATTCGAACCCTTGAATCTTGCAAGCTTGCATTCAGCAATTGGATCATTAGGGTGAGAAAATTGATTCTGTATTAGCCGCAAAGAGGGGTGAAATAACATCCAGGGTGGCCTCGATGACCTGGACCTCGCTGACCTCCCTTCTGCTCCACAGCTTGATCTCTGCTGTCTGCTGGACGTCAGCCAGGGAGTACATTTATCAACCTTGCCCCGTGTATCCGTTGGAAAAGTGCTGACAGCGACTGAGCTGGATCTCGACTCACTGTCACGGCGAGCATCTTCCAAAGAAGCTGAACGTGCAGCTCTGGCCTCAAGGAGAACCGCACCCCTGTCTGTTTGCGTTGGCAGACCCCCGTCACCTCGAAGGAAGTATCACGTTGTCTTTCAGTGCAGCGAGTGCGGTCAGCGTCACGGTGCAGTCCAGCCTCAGCTTGAGTTACGGTTTTAACTATGCGGCCAAAATGTCTTAAAAGGATTTAAGATGGGCAAACTACTTTGTATTATTATATATTTTTTTGCTCTTTATGTTTCTGAATCCATGGGGTTTCTCATAAAATCTGTGA